CCAATCAGATGCCCTGCCCACTGAGACACAGCGCCTCATGCTTGGAAACTGAACCTCTTCCCTTCTATTGATTCCATTACGGTTTGCTGTCAAACGTGTACATGTTTAGATCCCTCCAAAGGGGTCGCTGCATTAGTCTGTTGTGACAAAACAAAGCAGAAACCCAGGAGCAACTGAAAGACTCATGCCACTTTTATTTCACTGTGAACTTTCATGGGTGACAAGCTAGGTTCATCCCCATGGATGAGAACTGTGACCCATGAGAGCTCATAATGAAATAAATGTTCGGGTTTTTTAAAGTGCTGCTAAATTTTTGTTCTGGCTTTGGATCAGTCCTGACGGGGAACCTATAAAGAACTGGAGAAAATAAATATGCTGATTTTTCAGCTGGAGCAAGCGAGACCACCAATCAACACGTAACCAGCCCTTCATTGATTCAAGCCCCCTGGAAACAGGAGATGCCAACCGCCATGGCACAGGCTAACTTTGCCAGGGTTACAAACAACATGTTTTCACAAGTTTAACACTGCACTGCAGTCCCACCCTGGTTCTCCAGGCACTGGGGAAGAGAAGAAGAGAACGCCTTCAGCTCCACTGATGGGCTGGTTATTATGCAGTGCCAGAACTCCTCCCTTTCACACGTGGCCGCCCAGAGCCACCCACCGTTGCCATCCGACAAAAACAAAGCAGCGGCGGTGGCAGCGTGCCATGGATGTCATTTGGCTGCCTCTTTCAAAGCGGGAGAAACTGAGGCCTGCAGGTCAAAATCGAAGCTTATATGGCCAGGGCCCGACATACCTGAGGGACTGCCTTTCCCCACATATACCCCAGAGCAGTGTTCCCTCTAAGCTGAGTTAGTGTGAGCTAGCTCACAGTTTTTTAGTCTCTGGCTCACACATTTTTGTCTTGGCTCAGGAAGGGATGGCTCCGGAGGAAACTAATCTATGCAGCAGCCAAGTCGCTCGCTCACAACTTTAATGCCAGTAGCTCAGAAAGTAGAATTTTTGCTCACAAGACTCCACAGCTTAGAGGGAACATTGCCCCAGAGAGCACTGCGGTCAGGGTCACAGAATCGGTCGACCCTCCCAGGCCCCATGGATGCCAAGCTTGCTGCAACGAGAGCCAGGGCCTTTTCAGTGGCGGCTCCTTACTGGTGGAACTAGCTCCTGGAAGAGATCAGGGCCCTGAGGGATCTTTTACAGTTCCGCAAGGCCTGCAAGACGGAGCTCTTCCACCAGGCCTTCAACTAGGAGCCACCACCCCACTATTACCATCAACGAGCCCGGCCCTCAGCTCTAACATCTGGCTCATTCCATCGAGTGACTCAGGATGACACTGAGCTGGAACTCAGCTGTTGGAGACATCTGTAGCATGCGCCACTGTAAGGATAACCAATAGCACCTCCTGATTTTATGGTTCTGTTTAGTACTATTTTATATGCTTTATATGGTTTTATTGGCAATTTGTGCCACTACTGTAAGCCGCCCTGAGCCTGCTCACGGGGAGGGCGGGGGAAAAACTGAATTAATAAATAATAATAAATAAATGAAGCTACCCAGCCAGCAGCGCCCAGCACCACTGAGCGCCACGGACATGCGCAGAAAGAGCCTGCTGCAGTTCTGGGACATCTCTGAGGACCTCTGAAATTGTGCTCTGCTGGATTTTGGGGGAGAGGCAGCAAACAGACTGGAAAGGGATGTTTCTTTGTTAGAAAAGAACTTTGAGGAGGCATTTGAATAATTAGAAATGAAGACCCATGACCTCTGCTTTGAACACCCACTGTGGATCTGTGTAACCGACCAACCCAACAGAACCATGTTCCAGCGGATCCGTGAACGGCAAAGTCACACTCCTGGAAAAGGGGAAGCTGGTGATTTCCACGCATTTGGACACTGCTAAGCAAAGGTGAAACGAGAGTTCACTGTCTAAATAATACTAAACCTCCCTGGAGACAAGGAGTACAACGGAAGAGGCAGTTTGGGCCACGCGCCGAACAGCAGCCTTCCCCTCCTGCGCTGGGCCTGCTGTCCAGATCAGAAGCAAATGGAATTCTACGACAGGCAAGCAAATGGAATTCTACGACAGCCGTTCAACTGATCATTCAAACACGATTCCACACATTAGAGGAGATCAAATAAAGTGCCATCCAATGCAGGTGCAGACAGAATTGGCGCACACGAGCCTACGGGGCGATGCTCCTTTAGCTACGGGCATCCGATGAAGAGCTTTAAAGGTCATGAGCAGCACCTGGAGTTCTTCTCTGAAACAAACTGGTAGCCAACAGAGCTGCCTTAATGCAGCTGTGGTATGTTCCCACTGGCTAAACAATCCTGCCAACAATTGGACTGCTGCATTCTGACCCCGCTGCAGCTTTTGGGTTGTACAGAGCATCACAGTAATCCACCCTCGAGGTTACGAAAATATGGGTTAGCGCGCCAGACTGGCTGAGTCAAGGAAAGGAGGGAGCTGGCAAGCCAAAGAAAGCCAACGCAAGGCACCGAGGAGCACCCCCCCCCACCGGAGCTCTCAACGAGCGCTGCAAATAACACACCCACTCCACCCCACCTCTGCAAGAGGATCCAGCCCCTCCAGAGCATCCGCCTTCTCAGTCGGCAACAGTTCCCTCCTCTGATTCCAGCTTGTTCTGCTTTAGTCACGGCCACAGCCTCAAAGCAGGGGTTCGGAGCTGAACAGAGGCATCTGGCGGCTTGGATAATAAGCAGCATCATGTCAAATACTGAAGAGCGCGAGTGAGAGAATGGAGCCCCGAGGCCCTCCACAAGACAACCCCCCTTCATTCTGCCTCTCCAGTGGAAACTCCAGTGCCCAAGAACGGCTGCCCTGTAGTCAACTTGGCTAAGAACAAAGAGGCCAAGTGTGTCGAAAGTCTCTGGCAGATCCGAGAGTACCAAGAGAAGAAGAAGAGATTGGATTTATACCCCGCCCTTCTCTACCCAAGGGAGTCTCAGAGCGGCTCACAATCTCCTTTCCCTTCCCCTCCCCACAACAGACACCCCCTGTGAGGCAGGTGGGGCTGAGAGAGCGCTGACAGAAACGGCTCTTTTTTCCAAGAACAGCTGTGCCAGAACTATGGCTTGCCCAAGGTCATCCAGCCAGGTGCAAGTGGAGGAGGAGAAGGAGATTAGATTTATACCCTGCTGCCCTTCACCGGGAGTCTCAGAGTGGCTCACAAACCCCTTTCCCTTCCCCCACCCCACAACAGACACCCTGTGAGGGGTAGGTGGGACTGAGAGAGCTCTGACACAAATTGCTCTTTTTCAAGGACAGCTCTTATCAGAACTACAGCTTGCCCAAGGTCATCCAGCAGCTGCGAGTGAAGGAGGAGTGGGGAAATCAAACCCGGCACTCAACCACGACACCAAACTGGCTCTCAACCGTCCCTCTCCCACCCAGCTGTAGACGAAGACTGTCCTGAACCCACCTCCGTTCCGACCCCGGGGCCTGC